TGATTAAGGAGTAATTAATGCGAAAATTAAAGTGATTGGGTCTCTCTAGGTGAGAGTGTTTAATGTAGGTAATCTGCTTTGTTAGCGAGATCAGCCGGTTATTACTGTGTGTAATTAATGTGTTTTTTTGTGTTCCCCCTTAATGAGGATTAAGGGAGGTATTTATAACCTTGGGAAACGTGCCCATCCTAGGTTTAGGTTAACCTAGGGCTGATTGGGCTTCCCTCGGAAGTTGGGCCTGGGTGGCCGGTTTCTCCATTAGGCATGGAGTATGCCACATGTCATGACATAATAGGTCCAAGGTGGACGAATAAGCGCGTGCCACGTGGCAAGCCCTGACAGTTCCAACTGGGGGACACTTGGCAAGACCTGATTGGCCCACGTGGCGCATTCCGATTGGTGGGAGAAAAATCCCCTAATCATGCACGATGCTTCAACAATTCCAATGGGGGGGGGCAAGTTTGGTCCACTATAAAATTAAGTCAATATAGCATCAACTAAAATTTGTTGCTATTCATCAAAAATTCGTTGCCAACACTATTTAGCAACGGGTTGGAAACAAAAATTTGTTGTTGCTAAAAGGCTTGTTGCCATGGGATTTTGGCTACCATTTGCAAAGCAATTTTGTTGCAATATTGCATCCTTTTAAATACGGTTTCCATGATGGTTGCTATTTTTGGTGCATTCGTTGCCAACTTTGGCAACAAATTACCATTGGTCGTTGCTAAAATTAGCAACAAATTATTAATATTAGTTCCTAAAATAGCAACAAATTATTAATGTTGGTTCCTAAAAATAGCAACAAATTATTAAAGTTGGTTCATAAAAATAGCAACAAATCATAAATATTGGTTGCTATCAACACTACAAGACAAAAACCTAATCCCTATTAGCAATTCGATCCAACCCGATCCCGACTCAGGTCAGGTCAACTTGGCTCGACTTTGCATGTAAGGCTCTTTGAATCCCCTGTCTTAAGAATCGCAGTTGTTAGGAGTCGAACTTGTGACCTCAAAGTCACATGGTGAATCTCTTACCAACCATACAAAGTACCATTTGTTTACTTCTATACATATAATTTATAATAAGTGAACGAAATATTAGAGACAAATTGAAATATTAGAGACGAAATTGAAAAATTTGTCTCTAAATTAGGGACAAAATAAAAAATCCGTCTCTAAATTAGAGACGAAATTGAAATTCGTCTCTATTTGATGTCATTATAGCAACAAATAATAATTTAATACATAATAGCGAAAACTGAACTACATATAAATTAACAACAAAATGTAACACAATTTGTTTTCCAATGGCAACAAATAAAAAAATATGTTATCATCTAGCAACAAAAGTTTAGACGACTTGTTTCTAATGGCAACAATTCAAAAATTTATAGCCTTTGTTCTCTCAATGTAATGGCTTTGTTGAGAGAAAGAGGGAGAAAGAGAGAGAGAGAGAGAAAGAGAGAGGGAGGCTCTCGTGAGAATTTTTCTTATGTGAGAACACTTTTTATGTTCTAAATTTTAAATCTGATGTTCTAAACTTTTCCCCATATGTTCTAAACCATAAATTAGTTAAGTTAGATGTTATAAATTTTGAATGACTTATTCCGAAATTTTAACTTATATGTTCTAAATTTTAAAACGTGCGTGTGTTCTAAGATTTTTAGTTATCAATAACTATATACTAAAAGACACACCAGCAATGACACGTGTCATCTCCTGGTGTGTCCTTGGATTTTTTTTTTTAAAAAAAAAAACTATTTAAGAAAAACATCTTTTTAAATATATAAAGTATTATATTAATTTCCTACAAAGTGTAAGAAAATATTTTGATGAATCTTTCCAAAATAAAACAGATTGAGAATCATAAAGTTAAGCAAAAAAATTAAGTATAAATTCTTAAATCTTAACATAATTTGTTATGGACTATTTTTGGTAGGAAAGACATATTAGGTACTATGTACGTTTATTAAAACAAGATTATATATTTTTTCTTGATTTTGTTTTAAATTATGTAATAGAACGAAGCTACAAGCTTAAATAACGAAATGCGAATATCAAATCATCAAATGATGCTTTATTTATTAATTTTTATTTCCTTGAATGATTTATGATTAGAATTTCAATCCATTAGTACTGTATAGATACTTCAATAATACATGCCAAGAACAACACATATTGATTATTCTTAGTGTCATTTTTCCTGTCATTTTTTTTGTAGATTTTCAATATTCAATTGATATGAATATAACATATGGAAGTTAAAAAAAATATAATACAGTGTTACTTTTAAAAATAGTTATTGAAAATTACCGTAGATGGCACGCGACCTAACCTAGTATGTTCTAAATTCGAAAGCATATGTTCCAATTTTTACTCGCATGTTCTATATTTTTACTTATATGTTCAATATTTTTACTCCTGTTTTCTATATTTTATACCAAGTTTTCTAAATTTTTTATTCACACGTTCTAAATTTTAAATCAGATGTTCTAAATTTTAATCATGTGTTCTAAATTTCATGAAGCAAATTTTTTAAATTTTTACTCACATGTTCTAATTCTTGAATCAGATGGTATAAATTATTGCTCACACACATGTTCAAAATTATTAGTCATATGTTCTAAATTTAAATTTGAGTTGCATGTTCTAAATTTTTACTCACGTGTTCTAAATTATAGATCGGTTCTCATATAAGTTTGAATTCTCACATATGAACCTATTCTCACCGGATCCCTCCTATATATAAATGAATATATAAATGAATATATATATATATATATATGTATATATATATATATATGTATATATATATATGTATATATATATATATATGCCCCCGAGTGTATTTAACAGATATTGTCTTTTTTAGAGCAACTCTAATGGTTGGGAAAAGGGACAAGCTTGCAAATATTAAAAATGTTAAGCTAGTAGCCACACCATTGTTGCAAATCTTGTTGATTAGCTTTGGCAAGCAAATTAGCTTTGTAGAGCTAATTAGCTTGGCAAATATTTATTAGATAAAAAATGTTATTAATTTGAAAATAAATTAATTTACAACTAGCTTAACCATTGGAGCAACAAATAGCTTGAATTGTTGTAGCTTAAGAAGTTGACGTGGCATGCCAAGCTATTAAATAAATTAGCCAACCATTGTAGTTACTCTTATGTTCATTTCAATCAACAAGTTGTAATGGTTGTAGCTAGGGACTTGCTTGCAATTTTAATAATTCCCTAGCTACTAGCTTGACCATTGTAGCTCGAAAACACAATTAGCTCGGCTAAGCAAATTAGCTTTGCCAAGCTAATTTGCTTGGAAATTAAACTTGCCAAAATAAAAAAAAATGCACATTGCACCAATTAAGTTCTTTTCATGTATTTTCTATCCAACAACTACTACTAAGCTAATGACTATCCATTGGAGCAAAAAGTAGCTAAATGATAATTAGCTTAAAAGCTTATGTGGCACGATAAGCTAATTGTCTTAGCTTACCATTGAGCTATGTCCTTTTGGAATTTACTTCTATTCATTACCATTATATGTGTTATGTTATGATTTAACAGGCATGAAAAGGCTTAGTAAATGAAAATGTCATCTTAAGAAAGATTACATGCAACTTATTAAATGGAAATGTGAGACCATATTTATTCATTTTCTAAGTTGCATACTCTATCTCCCACATCACATGATTTGTTCGAGTATTGGCTCTATGTCTTCTACACAAAACACAAATGCGCCTAACTCAATGGCCCAATTTCGGCCCAACTCTTCTCCTACCTCCTATCCATTGCCTCTGCTCCTGTCTATTGGCCCATTCAATTGCAGCCCAATGGGCCGCCTATCCAGCAACAAAGCCCAACCTGCCTTAAATTAGCAAGATAATGTCATTCGGACCGCAAAGTTTCATATGTGACTAGCCACATCGTGTAGTCATGGTCACTTTGTTGTTTGGTTGGTAAGGGGTTACACGATCTTTCAGGGTTATTCGTCCAATCAGGGATTACCTTATCAAGGGTTACTCGGCTTATCTGAAATTACTCGATTAGTCAGGGGTTAATCGGTCACGATTTACTCGGTCAAGGGTTACTCGATCGATTAGGGGTTATTTGATCAGTGTTTTGGCGTGTGTTAGCTGGCCACGTGATATGGCCAACCAAATAAAAAACGCGCTACATTCAAACAATTCGTTGGGTGGAAAAAAAATGTATGTTGATTACTATTAGAGGTTTGCTCGGTTTCTTACCTTGATTAGTAAATTTGTACTATTCATGGTAGAACCAGTACTAGCACCATTAACGGTTTTACCATGAATAGGGATTTTTTCCCCCCAATGTAAGTAAAGGAAGTAAGGGGTGGTGTGGTGGTTGGACTAGTGCGTGGCTTGTTTTACTTTATTATTTAAAACAAACAACATAGTAAATATAAGGGTTTTTCATTCAATTCTCTTTCTTTCTCACTTCCCTTCTTTTTTATCACATGCTTACCAAACGGCCCTTAAAAACAAAATCAAAGTAGAGTATTTAAATAATATAATAGAAAGTTAAAACATTAATAGGAATGGAAAAAAATAAAAGAAGTAAAATATATCTATCATATTACCCATAAGGATCCGATGCGTGCATTTTTTTTTTTTGTTCCACCCTGTTTACCTTTTGACTTAACTAGGTTAAGTCCCGTGCCATGCACGGTAATTTTTAATACTTAATACTTATCATTAGTTTAACACTATTATTTAATTATAAAAAATTATACCTAATTGCAAAATAGGATGAAAGTTCTGTAATTACAAAAATAAAAATAAAAATTTATCACACTAAAGAAAACAGAGACAATGATATATGCACGACTAATAAAAATAACTATGAATTACATTACAAATTTATAAACTATTATTACATATTATCACTAGTAGAATAAACTTATTGGGCAGCCACAAATGGCAAACAGTGTTTGAATTCCGCTTGCCAAAATATAAATGGCAAGCGGTTTTGGATGAACCGGTTGCCAAAATGCAAATGGCAAGCGGTTTTGGATGAACCGCTTGCCAAAATGTAAATGGAAAGTGGTTTGAGCATTGAACCGCTTGCCATTGGTTAAAAAAACCCTTACAAATTAGAAACCCATCCCACACATTCACTCGGCGCCTCTATCCTCTCTCTCCCCTCATTTTCACGGTTCTCCTCTCTCTCTCCTCTCAACTTCTTACGCTCTATCTCCTCTCTTCCTCCATCACGCCTCACTTCTCTCTCCCCCTCCCCCTCCATCTCCTTCTCTTTCTTCCCTCGACCTCCCTTCTGTCCTTTCTCACGCCTCACCACAACAGCTACGAGTGACCAGCAACCTTCGACGAGCGACCAGCGACGAGAAGAAGGCGGTAGGGTTCAGATCTTCCGGCTCGGCGTTTGGGTATTACGCTGCTTCTCATGTCAGTCTCGCTTTAATTTCCGGTATTTTGTTGAATTTTGTACCTAATTTTCGAGTTTTGGAAGTTTAGATCTAATTCATCCTAATTTTGCAAAACTTTTGTTGTTTTTAATTTAAGATCTGAAATTATTGTTGTTTATTTTTAATTTAAGTTTAGATTTGAATTTTTAGCTAATTTTCGAGTTTTTGTTGTTTGGATTAGCGCAATTTTTTTTTCTTAAGTTTGTGCTTGTTTGGCAGATACGGGTGAATCGGGATAGGGTGCTGGTGGCGGTGATAGGTGGCGCGCGCGGCTGGTGGTTTGCATGCTGGTGGTGGAACTGGAACAAGAGCAGAAAATCAGAAAATTAATAATTTATATATTGTATTTTTTTTGAAGGATCAGAAAATGTAATATTGAAGAAATTGATTAATGAAAATAGTTATGGTTATACATATGTTAAGTTATTGTGTATCAATTTAATTGAAAAAAAAAACATTTTTTTTATAATTATTATAGGTGTAATGGGCAGCGGTTCGGAGCCCAAAGCGGTTCTGAACTTCTTGTTATTTAAAATGCCAATGACAAGCCCCCCAAGGGCATGCGGTTCATAACCGCTTCTCATTAGGGGGTTTAAACCGCTTGTCAATAAGTTTATTCTACTAGTGTATTATATAAAAAAAATAATATCTTTGTTTAAATGTGTACAAATAGAATATACTTATCAAATAGGAAATGAAATATTATGGCATAGTTTGTATTAAAAATTTCTCTAAGAAGCTAGGAGATGACATGTGTCATTCCGGGTTTCGCTTTTAATATAAAGTTATATATTCGAATTCAAGGCTCAACTCTAGGTGATTAGGTTCCAGCCCCCTTCTAATTGTTGTTGTAAGGGATCGAACACGCGATTCTCCTTAAAAGTGCAGCCCTAATTACCACTGCACCATCGTCCAATTGGTATGCGTCATGCGTGCATGAATTTAGGAAAGCACGTAAGGCTATATATTTATTCAAATATGAAATTCCTTTAACCATTTTTAAAGTATTTAATGTAAAAGCATGAATGCTAACTGACGAGTCTCGAAATCTATTAATAAGATGATTAACTGTCCAAAATGAAGCTCTTGATGTCAGCAACAAGCTGTCCAAATTAGAGCAAAATCAAACCACGATAGCCCCTCTGATTATAGCTTTGATCATGGTAGTGTTGAAAAATCTGAAAACAAACTATGATATCTAAGCTCTCTCTCTCTCTCTCTTTTTTTTTTTGTGTTTTCCTATTCTGAAAAATGCTGAACGTACGCAAGAATAAACCTCATAAACCTTCTCTTTGAGCCATAAAACCCGTGCCAAAAAAAAACTAAAAAATAAAACATAACAAGACTATCATAAAAGCCCACAATACAAGTGTCCAAAAACAATACTTATAAAAGTAATGCAAAATGGGCTGATACCACAAGTAGATGGTAGATTGGCTTTGCTATCAAATTGAACAATGTTGGAGTAGCCTTTGCAGTGCTTATTGCCATCAGGGAGGGTCTAACCTTGGCTTGGGAAAGTAACATCAAGTTTCTCGAGCTTGAGATCGATGCATAAGTTTTTCATTTTATGCTGGACAATCCTCTTATGTACACCGATATTACTTAAGAGTAAGTGGTGTGCTACCGTTCTCGATATTACTACTACAAAAACAGGCTTAGAGAATGGTTAAACTAAGCTTTATAGAACACCTTAGGACCGTTCTTCTGCTAAGCAATGTGTAAAGTTTATAGATCGGGTGAAATAGGCGTTTTATATGCACAATAATAGAGAACTGTCCTCAGGTACATTTTCCCTTCTTAAAATCTAAAAATGAGGAAGGGATAGACAACTGTTATCCTATTTAACAGTTCTATATTCAAAGAGAACAGTGAACTCTTTATGTTTTTTTTAAATAAATAATTCTAAAATATCAACGCTTTCAATGAATAATTTCACCAAAAAAAATCCCATGAACATCTTAACCACCCAACTATCGAAACATCATAAAGTATATACTTATCCAAAAATCCTTCCATTAATTCACAAAAATACTGTTTACAAAAAAAATGAACTTATTTATAGACAACAAAAAAAAAAAAAAAAAAAAGGATTACATAAACAAAATATTCTTGAAGACCTTTCTTTTACTCGTCCTTATTATGAACCTGCAACAACAAACAAAAGTCAATCAGATCATTAACTTAACAATGCCACAAGATTAAAAAGTAGGAAAAGATACAAAGGCAAATCACTAACATTGATATGCATACATGCTATAAGAACAAAAAAAATCTATAAATAATTAATTGAAATAAATCAGGGCAAGTTATAAATGTAGACAAAATCAAATGAACGAGAAAACTAGCATAAAAAATGTATACGATGTACTCATGTATTTGTACCAAAAAAAAAATAGCACTAGTCATGTTTAAACATTACGGAGTATTAATTAGTGGATTATATAATCATCATATCATAATATGTAATCAATTAACACATTTCTCATACTTATCATAATAGGACTTCTTAAAAAATGTATCTTATATGCTTATATCAATACGCCTAAGTGGCGTTACTTTGTACTTTAATTCACCCAATTTTCCCTCCAAGGTACTCCCTCTATCTTTTTTTTTTTTTGAAAACAGGTACTCCCTCTATCTCATAATACAGTTATTATTTGTGTTTTTTCATGGTGTTTAAGAAATAAGAGCATAAAGTGGATGAAATATATTAATAAAGGTGAAAAAATACAATCATAGATAAAAGTTAGTGAAAGAAAGTGCAAAAAAGTACAAAATATGTGCAAAATTCAACGGTATATTAGAAAATACAATAAATAAAGTTAGAAAAGTGAGTTTATAATCAAGGGCGGACCTATTAAGGGTCATGGGTGGCACCGGCCCCCTCGAAAATAATATTTTTTACATTTTATTAATCTAGGTAAAGGTATAAATTTATAGGTTAAATACAATTTTAATGTAATAAATAAGATTAATTTATTTTTTCATAGTGGTGATGCATTGAATTTATGCAAAAAATCTTAGGTTCACGCCTTCACACAAGCTCTTTTTTTTTTTCAATTTTTTTTATTTAGTGCCCCTCCACACTAAATATTCTACATCCGCCACTGGTATAATGGACTTTACATTTGATCCAAAAATAAAAACAGGAACAACATTTTGGATCTCCAAAATAAGAATACAAGAACTATATTATGAGACAGAGAGAGTATATTTCTTACCTCCTTGATGTACTATATATGGCTTTCCTTTCGACTTAAAAAAAGTGTGGAATATCCAGTATGATACATATTTATGTTTGTTTGGACATGTATATCGAATTGCTTATAAAATTGTTTAAATACCAATTGAATTAAAACTGCTTATATCGAAAAAAACAACAACTAAGCCCTTATTAATTCACCTTATTTTTTGATCTGAACTTATTTGATATAGTCTGATCTGATCTAATCGGGTCTGATCTTATTATTTGATTAGACCAAATTTTGTCCTTAAGTGTAGGATAATCTGTAAGGAAAAATATATAAGTGAGATCTTGTTAAATTCGTAATAATATACTCCGTATATTTTATTAATATTTAATTTTCATAATTTTTTCATTACAAAATTAAAGATAGTTAGCGATAAAATGTTATACATAAAGCAATGGTTTAATCTGAACTTATTTTTTCTAAAAATAGGTTGAACTAAACAAGGTCTTACTGTTAAACACATGAGCCCTTTCCCTAAATAATGTTGGGAAATTATCTAATTCCCAAATTACAGCTACTCTTATTTTAATTCCCACCATACCTCCACGTCACCGATTCAGTGGGATTTTTTTTTTAAAACGGGTTTATTAGAAAACCCTACTTCAAGTTGCGGTGTGCTACTAAAAACCGCTACTTCAAGTAGCGGTTTACTTATTAGAAACCGCTACTTGAGGTAGCGGTTTATATTTTTACAAATTTTCATCAAAGTGGGGTTGTTTGTGTTTTGAGGAAAACCGCAACTTGAAGTAGCGGTTTACTTATTAGAAAACCGCTACTTGAGGTAGCAGTTTATATTTAAACAAATTTTCATAAAAGTGGGGTTGTTGGTGTTTTGAGGAAAACCGCAACTTGAAGTAGCGGTGTTTTGAGGAAAACCGCTACTTCAAGTAGCAGTTTACAAAATTAAAATCGCTACTTCAAGTAGCGGTTTATTCTCATAACACTGCTACTTGAAGTAGCAGTTTGTTGCTGGACCGAGAAAAAAAAAAAAAAAAAAACCGGTTTGTTTTCCTTAACTGACGTGGGCAGTATGATGGGAATTAAAAAAAAAAAAGTAGCTGTAATTTGGGAATTAGACAATTTCCCAACATTATTTAGGGAAAGGGCTCCAAACACATTAACTTGATCCTACATAAATTGTTCTCAAACTGATACGTATAATGGATCTTCTGTTTTCCATATGCTCTAATCTTTTATAGCACTTGAGGCCAACTTCAAATGTTAGATCTCTGAAAGCCGGCTAAAATTTTAAACTCCTTTTCGTCGAGGCCCAGTCAAGGCCCAATTACAGATGCTAAGTGATATGTTAAGTAACTTTGCAAATATATATAACATTTTTCAAGTATAAATAAGATTTCAACCCTTAACTATTAAGACACAAAGGCATTTTTTTAATGATGGATTATATGAGAAATTACAAGTTTATCATGAGAAATTACAAGATCATCAACTTCATATTGTTTATTAAAAAGAAAAAATTGTCCAGAATAATCCCACATTTAGGACGTCCACCCAAAATAATCCTACCTTTAGATTATTTTTAAATAATCCGACCCTTGATGTCAATTTGCTTACAATTAGGGGTGAAAGTAGTTTGGATAAAAACCGAAAACCGATCCAAACCAAACCAAACTAGAAATTCGGTTCGATTTTTTCGGTTTTCGGTTTGGATTCGGTTCCAAAATCCTGAAACCGAATTATTTCGGTTTGGATTCGGTTCTGGGTCCTAAAAAACCGAAAACCGAAATCCAAACCGAAATGTTTAAAGCCCATATAGATTCCAGTCAATTCCCTTACATATATATAGCAAACCCTAATTTTCTCCTTCATTTTTCTGACTTTCGGCCACCTTCACTCCTCAATTCCGCTACTTCCTCACCAAAACCCTTCATTTCCTTCACTCCGACCACCGTATCTCACCACCGTATCTCACTCCGGCCACCGTATATTGTCTCCTTGGTCGAATATCAGTTCCTTTCTTCAGATCTGGTGTTCGTAGACTTCGTACTCCCTCAATCCGCGACGCGCCACCACCTTCTGTCGCCACCACCTCTCTCAGTCACTCAAAGGTAAGGATTTTTTTATTTACTCCTCTTTTCCTCTTTCATTTGTTTTTTTGAATTGGAAATTTGAATTATGTTCGAATTAGGAATTTTGAGTTATTTCTG